TCGGACTCTGAACTGCATGCTTTGTGGTTATACTTTAGTTGAAGCTCTTAACACAAGTATCTTCTCTTTAACGTACATTGACATTGCACTGTTAAGGTCTATGAAAATTATTGATGTGATTATAAAAGGCATTGTTTTTGTTCTTACTTTATTTGCTACCATGCAGATATATCAGAAGAATTGTCTTTGAAGGAGGGCACATCGTAGATCCTGAACAGGTTGAAGATTTTAGAAAAAAATAAATAAATTTCACTTTTGACCTTTGAATAGCAGAATATTTTGGTGATTTTGATTTAATTTGCCAGGGCGAATTCCTTTGTCCTGTATGCCGGGGACTTGCAAATTCTGTACTGCCGGCATCACCTGGAGATTTTAGGAAGTTTCATCCACTGCCTATTCCAACTGTTAATTCTATGAACACTGCTAGCTCTTCATCCTTGTCAGATAGTAAAGTCAGTTCCCTTTCTCTAGAAGATGGTTTGTGTCTTCTTAAATGTGCTGCTGATGTTGCAATAAGTAATGAGCTTCTGAAAGCTTTTCCAGTTGGAAAAAATGTGACGACACCACCAAATCTTGAACCTTTGTTTCGTGTATTGAGTGGAATGTGCTTTCCTGGCGTGGATAAGGGATCTGGAAGGGTAAACCACTCAGTGATTCTATGGGATACACTCAAGTATTCCCTCATGTCAGCCGAAATTGCTGCTCGATCCAGAAAGAATTCATTGACTCCAAATCTTAGCCTTGGTTCTTTATACAAGGAACTCAACTCTTCCTGTGGTTTTATATTGTCGCTGTTGCTAAATGTCATTCAAAGTATCCGAGCTCAAAATTCTCAGAACGTTCTTTTGAGGTTAAGAGGCATTCAACTCTTTGCCAAATCTGTATGCTCTGGCACTTCTTCTAATGAAATTTCCAACCACAATCACCCACAAGAAGGTATTATTTCAAGTCATCGATTACTGTTTTTTATTTGACTGTTGAATGCAGAAATTCATTGAAATGTGTAATGATATTAAAATACAGCAATAAATCAACAGACCATTTATAGATTTTGTGAACTCTCTTTATGGCAAAACTTCGGAATAGTTCATTTAGCTAAGTGATGTGCCTGGGCCCTGGATAACCAAGAGACTTACTATGTTCAATATGCAAACTTCCAAGAAATATATGCAATCATTGAAATGGAAATTCAAAGAGGAACAGGTTTTTAGATGATTTGGAGGAGATTTGACGGTGCGATTATTCGATTTCAACTATAAAAACCACGGACTTCCCCAACAAGCCTTTCGTTAGGGGTTATTCCATGCGTCATTACTTATGGGTTGGGCCCCAACTTGGACTTA